ACCAAGGTCCTTAATATCAAATACTGATTTCAAATATGCCTTAGTAGCTTGTATACCTTCTTTGTCACTCCCTGAGATGATGATATCATCAACATACACAAGGAGGACTACTATACCTTGTTGGCTAGTGAGAGTGAACAATGTATGATCTGCCTCAGACCGGTTGAACCCTCTCCCATTCAAGGTTGTGCTTAGCTTGCGATACCAAGCCCTTGGTGATTGCTTTAGGCCGTAGATAGCCTTCTTAAGTCTCCACACATTGCCTGGTTTCACCTTGTCTTCCATTCCCGGAGGAGGTCTCATGTAGACTTTATCCTCTAGCTCTCCTTGAAGAAATGCATTCTTCACATCCATTTGCCACAAGTCCCACTCTAAGTTTACTGCAAGTGAGAGCATGATCCTGATGGTGTGAAGCTTTGCAACTGGTGCAAATGTGTCAAGGTAATCCTCTCCATATGTTTGAGTGAATCCCCTAGCCACTAGCCTTGTCTTCTTCCTTTCTGGCTTCCCATTAGCAAGATACTTGATAGTATAGAGAAGCCGGCTTGTGACAGCGTTCTTGCCTTTGGGAAGTGGAGTTTCATACCATGTATCATTCTTTTCCATGGCTCCCATCTCAGCTCCAACTGATTCTCTCCACTCGTCATCAGCCATAGCTTCCTCATAAGTCTTTGGTATCCAATCTTGATCCAAGTTGCTCATAAATACTTGGTGTTCCATTGGATATTGAGCTAGAGAGAGCAAGCGGCTTGTATTGGGTGAGCTTCTACCTTTGCATTGAAGTATACCCTGGTATTGACCCAATTAGATGGATCCTTTCTGATCCTAGTGCTCCTTCTTAAAGGTTGCACTTGATTTTCCCGTTCACTGCTCTCCACATCTTTATGAGCTTGTGGCTGAGCTTCTTCTTGATCTTCTTGATCTATTTCTGAACCATGTTGATCATGACCCTCAGAACCTTCTTGCTGTATCTCTTCTGGTTCTGACTGGTTTCCCCCTCATGATCAAGAGGGTTTTCAGCAACTTCTGGTTCATATGCTGCTTGTGTAGGCTCCTCATCTCTAGGCTTTGGCCGGCTAATCCCAAGACTTTCTAGGATGATTCTCAAGTTTGTTGCCCGGTCTGAAGGTGTATTGGAGAGGTCTTTGAGTGTGTCCCAGCTCTTCTCATCATAATATCCTTTAGACTCCACAAATTTAACATCTCTTGAGACCAAAACCCTTTTCTGGTCTGGAACATAGCACTTGTATCCTTTCTGGTTGGTTGAGTAACCAATAAACATTGCTTTTTTTTTCTTTGTCCGCCGCCCATTTTAGCTAGATCAAGTGGTGAACAGACGAGTCGATCCTCCGGGGAGCACCTCCATCTGGCCTGGTCTGATCTATGTGGGAAAAAGCTGATCCACTCCTCCTTGCTTCTTTGGCTAGTGCGTCCGCTCTTTGACACTCTTTGCTTCTAGTTTGTTCCTTTGTGCTCCTGGAATCAAGACAAAACACAGGTACCCAAACACACGTAAATGATCAATGGATGGCTTAGTCTTGTTCAATACCTCATATGGAGAGACATCATGGAGAATCCGGTGGGGAT